GGTGGGAGCAAAGTTTTCTGAGCTTGCAGGGTCTCCGTTGTTATGCTGAATGTTATCAGGACTATCCTATGACTATATTACGTTACTGTGACTATACAGTCATGCCCGTTGACTTGGACTACATTGGCAGGGCCCTTTGAATCCTCCTCCTTGGCTTATTTTGTTGCTGTGGTTCCCAGGGAACTCCAATTTGGTCTATGCTGTTATCCGCAAGCGCAACGTGTTTCACCAGCTGGCCAACCTGCCCACGGACTCGCAGGCCATCCAGAAGGGTCTGCAGCGCAGGAAGAAAACGCCGGAGCCGATTTCCCGCACCAACTCCCAGGATGGGGTCTCCATGGAGGGCTCACGGCCTGCTGCTCCGGCGGAGAAGACAAGCTTGGTAGCTACTCCGGGTCAGCATTAGTTTATCTTTATAACATGATAGACAGTTGTTTGTGAGGTACAGCAGGGACTCACCCTTTCTTTGGGTGTGGGAGAGATTAAGAGCTTGCAGCTGTGAGTGACTTATTGCTCTTTAGTCTCAGTTTCAGATAGAGCTTGCCCAAGCTGATCACAGTCAAGTAAAGTGCACTGAGCTTCTCTCCTCTCAGACTAGGGGAGTTTACATGGCCTTTCGTCCCAGTTTTGGCCTCTTGCCTCAGTTTAACTATACCCATGTGCATCTGTTTTCCTGTTACGGCAGGCAGTGTTTTCCCAGAGACACCCCAGCTCCTTTGGGGTGATGAGATCGAGGCTAATCCTTGTTCCTGGTGACAGGAGAGTGTCTCAGATGTCAGCAGATGAACAGGATGTCTGTGTAATATAGGGCGGAAAGGAACACCTTACTTTTAAGCACCTTTAATTCACTTGTGCATCTGAGCTTTTTCCCTGTTGAACACAGGAATCGACAAGCTCACCGAGAAGTCACAGGTGTCAGAGGATGGGACCATGCGTTCACTGGAGCCCGAGTCCTTGCAGCCCCTACCAGAGGGTAACACCCCCTCGGCTGTGAATGATGGGGAGCCCTGGACTGGGGTAAGGCTGGACGCTCCTCTGGTGGTTTGGGAGCATCTGGGCTTAATATCTGGCAACTTGGGTGTAAAATGGACTAAAACAGGGGACTCTGGGAGCTCTGTTGGGCCCAGGGAGGAAGACACCCTATTAGGGGCACTAATACACTGCGGTTTGGACGCAGTGTTGCATCGTTATGGGTGTTCCCTGCTTGTGCTAGTGACACGAGAGGGACTTTCTCTGTCTTAAAGTCACTGATGGAGCAGTACATAGGCAAAGGGAGGTGTTGCTGATCTGGACCCTCTCAACTTGGATCCTGGCTGTTTCCTTTCTTCCCATGTCCTGCCTTTCTGGGATGGAGCTGGCCTCTTCTGGCTTGCTGGTGTTGTGCTACGATCTGTTTTGCTCTGGAAATATTTCTGGCTGAGCCAGCATTGCAGAATTGGGGTGCAGGTGCAAATACCCTGGAAAGTGCATGAGGCTGAAGCATGTTGTGTGGGAAGTATGTCAAGGGGATCTCAGCCCTTTAAAACTTGCTACCACTCTGACATTGCTCTGGAAAGACAAACTGACTTGCCAGCTTTCTCAGTGCTTTCCTGTGGAGTTTGTGAGCTACTTGCAGCTCTTGCCTCAGTGTCTGGCTGGGGTCTGACCCTGCCAGTGGGGCTGTGTGTAGCCTGCTCTACTCTTCCTTGCTCCTGTCAGCTGTCTGCCTACAGGTGAACTCCTCTGGGGCCATTAGCAAAGGCATCACGAGCTAGCAGAGCAAGCAGAAGGCTCTTATGTTCTGCCCTTACGTCCTGATGCTTCCATTGGCTCTACTTGTGTGCGTGGCCGCTCATGAGTCTTTGGACCCAGTCAGGCAGATGGTCACCCATGAGTTGCCCCACCTGGCTCCTGCAGCGCTGTTTGTGTGTCTGGATGTTTGTGGAACTGGGCGAAAATCAGACAGGATGTGAAGGGTGGTAAAGCCCTGGGTGTGGGGCAGGCTGTGGGGAGAATCATCAGCCCTATCGCGTGGTGCTTCAGGCAGCACACGCCTGCTGCAGGGATCGGGCTGCTTCAGGCTGTCTGAACACAATCCCACTGTGCTCCTTCCTGTCTCCAAATTACTGAGTTAAGAACTTGCTGTGTGTGTTTTAGGATCCCCACCTTTGGGTGATTTAAGTTCTTTCCCTTATCTGTGGCAATGTTCACCACTTATCAGTCATAACCATTTCAACAGCATCTCATGAAATGCTCAACAGCCCTCACATTCCGGCATAATTCCATCTCTTGTCTCCTAAATGTGTCAGCTGGCTGCCAGCATTTGGGTGGCAGCTTGGGAAGGGGTTAGGGCTGTGGGAGAGAGAGGAGCAAAGAGGAAGAGGGTGAGGTCACTTGAAGGAAATTGGGGGGTTTATGCTTTTATGAGTTTTATTTTTAGCAGCTTGATGGGGACATATTACTGAAGCTGTACTGACTGATTGATAAGTCATAACTGCAAATGTTGCAAAATGATGTTGTTGTGTAGGTTTTCAGAAAGAGGCAATGGGCAACAAAACCCCCAGAGTACTCAGTATCTCCATACATCTCAAAAACTGTGGTCTTTATTTGCAGATGTAACTTGCCTCTGTGCTAGAAGAAAGAACCATGTGTGAACCCCTTCGTATCAGTCTCATTTAACTCTCCCACCACAAATTGTTCCAGCAGATGTGTCAGCAGTGGTGGATGGAGTTGTTATTTGCTGTGGGGTCATACAACCTCACTCCATCAAAGGTTGCCACTTGCTGGGTCAGCTTTGGGGAATGTTGGGCTGATGGGTCTGATCTGTCCTAGAGACAGGCTGAGCTCACTTGCACAGGAGCACCCTGGAAAAGCTAAGGGGGAATGGGCCACGGAGCAGAGAAAGGGGTTGTATTTCTTGGTCTTGACTAATGTTTTGCTTGATAGGAGGCATCACAGCCCCGACGGGATCGAAGGCGTCTCTCTAGTGCATCCTCCACTGGGCAGTGGACCCCAACTCCTGACTGGGTAAGGGCAGCTGAATGAAGGAAATAAATAACAAAGAAAAGAGTTCTGGCAGAAATGCCTTTTTTCCATAGCAGAGACTTCCCTAGATGCAAATTTCTTCACGGGGAATACCTTTGACTTGTGGTCCTAACTTTAGAATTCACTAACACTTAAAAAGATGTATTTTGTTCTTTTTTTTTAAACCTAAGCCCCACTGAGTATCTCTTAAGTCTAAAGCTGCCAGACCTGGTGAATAATTATGGTGCCTTTAGCTTATCCACCACTTTCATGACTTTAGCAAACCTCATATGATATGAGACAGTGAAGATAAACACAGAAAAACTACCATTTGTGCTGATTTCCCTGTGGGCTTTTCCACACGCAGGTGATGTCTTGGAAGTCAAAGCTGCCCCTACAGACAATCATGCGGCTCTTACAGGTGCTGGTGCCTCAGGTGGAGAAGATCTGCATTGACAAGTAAGTGCATTTTGGGAGAGGGGGAAAACAGGCCAGCAAGTCTAATTTACTTGTTTCTGTTTTCTTGTAAAATATAATTGAAAGCATCACAACTTCAGCAGAGGAGCGGTTATGTCATTTGCCAAGGTGGTTGTTTTTGTGATCCCTTCCCAAATCCTCTCTCACTGGAGGGAATGCCTGTTCTTGGAAGCCAAGGTTGTTGGTTCCCTGTATGTGTGCATGTGTGAATTTGCTTAAAAAGATAATTTTTGCTGCAACACTATGTGCTGTGAGACATGCCAAGCATGTTCCTGTTCTGTCTCTTTACAGAGGTCTCACAGATGAATCAGAGATTCTCAAGTTCTTGCAGCATGGCACACTGGTGGGGCTCCTACCCGTCCCTCACCCCATCCTCATCCGCAAGTACCAGGCTAACTCGGGCACTGCCATGTGGTTCCGGACCTACATGTGGGGAGTTATTTATTTGAGGTAAACCAAGTGGGTGCAGTTTAACCTAGTCATTTCACAAACGTTTTTATAGCCCACAGAGATCTGTATACACTTGGCAGCTTTAGGCTGCCTCATATTTAGAGGAAAGAAAGATGTGGTGCTGTTGGAAATGACTTGGCTGAATTAGTTGCTCTGAAACTTTGTTTGAGCTGGAGACATAAAGGGAATTGGTCGTAAGAGCTCTGCTTATTTGGGAACTGGCAACTTTTCTTATTCCCTGGTAGTGCTTAGAGAGAGTGGTGCAGAGACTGGATGCAAAACTCTAGCTTTGTGGGATGTAGAAATTGTCATCCCTTTAAGGCCCCTTTGTCTCTGCAAAGTGAAGCTGTTCTGCATGGGCAGTCCTGTAACCCTTGTGGGGGGATTTGAGTTCCAGGTACCTGGTCACAGAGAGTAAAGTGGGTCTTGTCTTTCTCTCCCAGGAATGTGGATCCCCCCATCTGGTATGACACAGATGTGAAGCTGTTTGAAATTCAGCGGGTCTGAGAGCACTTACCTCTGCTAAGAGAAATACACTGGATCTAAGGACTTTGCTGTGTGCTGCTTCATCACAGCTGTTTCTGCATTTCACATCCAGCTGAGAGACCAAAAGGACAATCGCTTCATTTACCTCCCTGTCATTTTAAGCTTTAATTGGGATTTGCTTGGACATCCCTCCCCTCAGCTCACTTCTCTTCCCTTGCCCTTCACCATGAACCTTGAGTGAAAGATGTGTAAGGGATCATCCACTCTTGTGGTTGCACTAGAAATCAGACTGTTCTTAGCTCGTAGGTTACTCTTCTGCTCCTCAAGTTGCTTTAGAAACCAATGTGACGCTGTCCTTGCCCAGGTCAGAGTCAACATTTAATTGAAAGACTGGCTGTAAATTGGGTGCAAGGGAGAAGCTGCTATTCCTGCAGGAGATGGGGATTTGGAAACCTGTGGTTACTTCCATGTGGCTTCATAAAGTTTCCAAGGTGTCCCTTCTGACTGCAGATGTCTCCCAGATGTCTCACTCGTACATTGGTGGTAGCATTTTTCCCAGCCAAATGAAAGGAGTTGCTAACAGATATCTCTGTTCTCATCTCAGTTCTGAATCTCTTTACCCCTTTCGTGGAAAGCTGCTTAAGGGGGTTTGCAGTAACCAGTGCATCAGTGTGGTATGGGAAGCTCTTCCTTGGCTTCTGGGCCCACCAGCCTGTCCCTCGTGGTGGGCTGTCACAGTAGATTGTGTGTCACTTAGGGAAGCACTGTTTGACCCATGAAAGCCTGCAGGGAGGAATGAGCTGGCTTGGTGGGAGGAAGGAGGAAGAACAGATCTGTTAAACTGTATTAAGCTTCTCCACTTCACTGAGAGGATGGTGTCACTTGGGTTTGGAAGGAGCCTTAACCTGCCCTCTTAGCCTGGCAGGTTGGTGCAGTGTGGGGAACGCGGGGGTCTTTTGCACACTGCCGTCTAGGGCAGCGAGGGAGGCACTCAGGGAAGCTATAGGAGGAACTTGGAAGTTGCAGGGGGAAAAGTGTCTCCATGTCATTAGGGTATGGAGACTGCCGAGGCAACATTGGATTCTTCAGGGCGTTTTGCAAGTGACCAAGTGGATCTTGAATGTATTGGGTCCCAAGCAGGCAAAATCTGAGAACTAGAGGGAGTGCTTCACTCTCCTGGAGTGATGGCTCATAGTCAAGTGGTCTCCTGCTTTTGGCATGGAGAGTGGGCTGGAGTCCCTGAGCCGACAGATAGCTGAAACACGAAATACAGCCTGAATTGTTTTATCCGAGGGACACAAAATATCTCAAGTAGAGAGAGGTTATTTTCCCTTCCCCAGTCTCCAACCCACTTTGCCATCTACCCCGACTCCCACCCTGACTCCATCCCTGTTCAGATGTGGACAGGGCGAGGTCTCTGTTTGCTTGGAATCTCCTCCGTATTGAAGAATGTGATTTGGTGGGGCCAGCCTCTGCCCGGGCCACGCTGCGTCCCGCGCGCTCGCCTCTGCCCTCCTGTGGGTCTGCTGCTTCTCATGGTTTCTTCTGTCCTCTTTTCTGCTTTGTTTTTCTTTTTTTGTTTCTCTCTCTCTCTCTTTTTTTTTGTGTGAGTTCCTCTGGAATTTTCTTTTTCTTTTTTGGTGTTTGGTGTCTGATCTTTGTTCTGTGGAAATCAACTTGCACTGTAAACTATTTGCTTATTTACAGAGAGATAAAGATTATCTGAAACGTGCAGTTGGTTGCTTATTTTCTTTTTCCCCAGAGATCTATAACCTTGTTTGTGTTGTGCCTAGGTGATTTGTGCTACTAGGCAAACATGTGCTGGCTTCCATTGTGGTGTGCGAGGTTTTATTTTCTTTGAGCTGGAGACATAAAGGGAAACTGAGTCTCTGGAAAACGATGCTGAACTGTGTGTTTTTTGACTCCTCCTGTACTGTGGATAGAGACACCAGCAAAGCCACCTGCCTCCAAGGAAACAAAATAAACGAGATGAAACAGGACTAAGTCTCCTGACCTTGGTAGCCGGGTGCTCCAACCCTTGTGCAGCTGAGACCTGTGGAACAGCCGCGTGGCCCTGGGTGAGCTCAGAGCGGTGCCCGGATGGCAGGTGATGGGATGTGAGAGCAGGAGGGCCCGGGGTGACGTGGCTGTATCTGCTTTGGCGGTTGCAGCCAACTTGCTTCTCACTGCACGTTCGAGTTACCGGCCTCAGCCCTGCTCTTGGTGTGAGGGAGCTGTGCAGGGCAATGTAGCTGCACACAGACTGTGTGGGGCTGGTTTTACCCCTGCTGGGTGCTCACAAACCCTCTCCTAGGGAAAGTGCTGAAATCCTGGCGCGTCAGGAGCGTGTTCCTCGTGGAGGACTGCCCGGTGCCCTATGCAGGGTGTTACCTCCGTCTGTGCGTTGGAACGGGGCAGTGTTGGAGCAGGACAGAGGGCTGCGATGTGATTTACAGAGGCTGTTTGCAGGAGTTGGAACTGGTGGGTTTTGTTCCCATTCATGCTCGTCAGAAATTCAGGTAGTTCATCCTGTTCCCACAGAGATCACAAGCAAACTTCTCTCTCAGTACATACGTGGGCACAGCCAATTTGTACCTCACTGGGAGAGCTCCACAATAACGTGTTCAGTGAAGACTTATTATCTTTAAGCAGGCTTACACCACAGATAAAGCCCAGGTAAGGTCAGGGGCTAGCTCATGTACTATATCATTCCTTGTCCCCAGGCTGTCAAAATCTAGGGGGAAGGTTTGAGTTCCTGTTTATCATTTGAAAGGGCCAGACCTTGGCGTGAATCTGCTTTGGATCCCTTGGTACAAACTGTGAAATGAGAATAATAATTAACTTTATTGGAGCCTAATTTATCCAGCTGTTACTTCTCATGACATATATCTGTTGACACAGACCTAAGTGAAAGGATTTATTGGGCAAAGTTCATGCTCTGCACTATCCTTCTTGCATTTAGTCTCAGAGGAAGGTGGCCTAGCCTGAATGCTGAATCATAAGGCCAGTGGGATGAGTATGGTCAGGAGTTTCTCATCACTGTTCCTGCCTTGGGGGAGATTGGTTCTCCATGAGATTGGAGTGTGGGGAAGCCGTTGTCAGGCTGTGATCCACCCTCTTCCTGAGGTTGATTTATAGAGGAACAGAAGAGGTAACAGGTGCATTTTGTACCTTACTTCTTTGGCCTTTGTTAAGAGTCATGAAGGGTTTTGATAGCCAAAAAAAAAAAAGGGATTGATTATAAAACAAGGCCTGTCCTTAGGTCTCGTATAACCTCTGAATGCAAGAGTGGTGCAAGTCAAAGTCAGCTGACATTGAGTTTGGCCTTTGAGTGCAGAGCAGACCCAGAGATTCCACCAGAGACAGGTGAACATTCAATCCATCTTTATTTCCGTTCATCAAGCTCTGCCCCACACTCTCCCATGTGCTTCCAAAGCATCTCCTATGGAACAAGTACTAATGGGTCTTTGATCACGCGTCCCGTTGTGTAATTTTACTCTTTTATGCTCAGTGTGCCCTGGGAAATGTTTGTGGATGTGGGATATGTGCAAAGCAGCAGTGGGGAGAAGTACTGATGTGGGGAGGGATTCACAGTAGATTTGGCAGTAGCTCTTTCTTGAGCCACCATGCTCTGTGCAACGGCAGGACCTTTGCTATTACACACTGGTGCTAACATCACACGCAGGGAGCATCGAGTAAAGACCAGCCACAACACTTTTCCAGTGCTTCTCACTCAAGGTTGAGTGCCTTTAAGGAGATATATTGTCTAGCCTGTCCTTAAGGTGACATAATGGTATTGCTTCTATTGTAGAGAATAGGAAAAGGTGCTCAGAACTAGTGAAAATCTGAAGGCCTGTCCTGCTCTTCATCATTAAGAGCTGCGAATTTTTAGCACTTTTGTGGTCTTGGGTCTTACGGGACTCATCCAAGTTGGCACCCAAAATGTTAGCGCCAGGAGCAAGCACCAATAAACCTTTTCTGATAGTTACAGCGTGCTACCCAGTATACTGATCTGTGAAATTACATGCAAAAAGTGTTTGGTTCTTTTTCAGTTACCGTGGGGTGACTAATCCTTCTAGTGTGCCTAGTACTGACAAGACTTCTGTGCTGCAGGAGAGCACGCTGGTGAGCAGTGGAGGGACTGGTATCCGTGTCTGTAGTTGGGTCTAGACAGTATCTGCTGCTCTGGTTGAAGCTTGCTCTTGTGTTCTCTTGTCTGGAAGATCTCAACAGGAGTGGGTAAAGTCTCACTCGCTACCATATAGCGTCCACTGGCAAACTCCTACAAAGCACCAGGGTGCTTCCTTAGCTCAGTAAAAGAGTTTCTGTGTGTCGATCCTGTTGTCTATGGAGGAAACGTGATAATACAGAACACCCTCCTTTTCTGCAGCTTATGGAGGTGTGTGAGGAGAAGTCAAAGCAGAAGCCAGAAGGAAAAAGCTGAAAGCCTTTTAAGTGCATGTGTGCTGCTTACCACGTCCGTGTTCAGCCTCGTCCTTCTGCCCCAGGGTCTGGGGTGAGCAGTGGGCCTAGCTCAGGCCGTGACGTAGACCTCCAGGAGGCCCCCAACCGAGTGCATGCGGTAGAACACGCCCAGAGGGAGGCCGAAGTTCACGATGGCAAACCAGGTGGAATAGCCGTAAAACGACTTCTCCAGTCCGTTCTCAAACACAGGGTGAGCCCCAAACGTGGGCATGATCCACAGCTAAAGAGGTGTGAGAGAAAAAAAGAGGAGAAATCAGAGGATAGCAAACTGCCTGCTGCCTGCACTCTGATCTCCTTATGGGCTCAAGTGGTTGTAGGAATGTCTCAAGAGCAGCAGAGGCACCTGCCTGCTAAAGGAGGGAAGGCAACTTTTCTAGTTAAACTTGCTTGCTCTTTGCTAAGTCAAATCCTGCCCCTTGAACTCCTGGAAACCTCATGACAGCCTCATTCTGTGCCAGCCAGTTTCCTTTTTCTCTTGCAGGCTGGAGTTGTCCCCATCTTCACTGGTTTAAGGCCACGATGAAGATCCGCATAGCTTCAAAATCCCAGAGCCTAGTGTGCTTATGGGTGAGTTTCAATACTGGAGACTACTGATTACAAAAACTCACTACTAGTTACCCATATTTCTCCTGTTACCTCATTAAGCATTTTTAATGAATGGTTTAATTAATGGTTTTGATTTGTTTGATTCATTAATGATTTTGATAGTTTCTTCAGAGGTTAAAGTCATGGTAAATGAGAATTTGTGAGCTGTCTCCTGCACCCAGAAAACTTAACTATGTTTCCTTTTCAGGCCAAAAAAAGAGCATTTAGAAACATGGGAATAGGGCATTAACAGAACAACTGGTCTTAGCTTGGAAAGATGGTTGCACCAGTAGGTTAAAGCTTGGTGGGTAAAGGTTGCTTCTCTGGAATGAAGTCCCAAAGGAAGGAGGAGACCATGTCTGCATTAAGAGGTCAGCCAAACTCAGACGTGGCAGAGAGAAGAATACTTACTATGATATTGCACAAAACCATGAAGAAGGAGATCTCCCTTAATGCTTTCCTCTTCCAGCTCAGGTGAGAGTAGGTATGGATGTATGAGAGAGAAACTCTGCGGATTTCCTGTCCCAGCTCTAGCACGCTCACTCGTCTCTGGTTGTGAGCTTCCTGGTTCCACTCTTCTTTCGACTCTTCCTCTTTGCTGAGAGGGGGCTGTGTGTGCTCCTGTTTGCTGTTTGCTGTGGCTGTCTCTTCATGGGGAGGCTCTGAACCCACTGCGTGCTGCCCAGCGTGTCCAGCACGTCTGGCCTCAACTGCCTCCACAAAGGGCCGCCTGTGGAGCCCGTCAATAATGAAGACGTTTTGGGTGATGTGCTGAAAGATGAGGAGGACTGAATAGGACAGGATGAGGCTGTTGAGCAGGTCCCTGGGGTTGGTGGCCACAATGGCGACAATTGAGAAGTAGGACATGCCGATTTGGCCAAGGGCTGCCCCCATCAGCAGGATCACATCCAGGCTGCGGGTTGGGTTCTTCAGCGTGTCCAGATCCTTCTTCTCCAAGGCGTGGATGATTGTGCCAATCACTGCGGCAGCGCTCATGAGTGGCAGGAGCACAATGTAGTAGGAATAATACATCACGAAGACCTGGCGGTTGGGTGCTGAGCCGGTGGCTTGGATCTGGTACATCATGAAGACACAGATACCAATCATCACAGCAGCAGCACCCAACAGCGGTCCAAAGACCACCCCCTGGAGCTTGAATTTGTGCTTAATATGAGAGGCATGGTGGTGGCTGATGCGTCTCCCCACGTTCTTCCACATGACATAAAGCATGGAGCAGCAGACAAGGTAGAACTCAGTGTTGAAAGGGTAGAGCAGGATGTAGCCTTTCTGGAAGACCTTGCAGGCAGTTGTGTTCGGGCACGTGCACAAGGCAGTCTCGTTACCTGGAGTGAGAGAAGAGGAAGGCAGCAATTAAAAGGGAGATGTCCTGAATTTCATGGCCATCTTCAGGAGCTCTGTGTATGCAGGAATGACTTCTGTCTTTGTGTATCTTGGAAATGATGATCAGTAGGAAGTGATCAGCTCTCATTCTTCAAGCTTGTAAGGATTTTAAATAACAGAATTCCTAAATATTCCTTTTGGTGAAACCAGAGGTACTAAATGAGAGATACATCCCTTCTTTCATTAGCAGAGCCTCCTCACCCTTGGAATATTAATTTCTCCTTATCTTTGTCTTTACTCTTAAAAGCAGAGCACAGCAACTATGCAAGTTTCTTATAATCTAGCAATCTTTTCCTTGCAGTTGACAGGTGAATGTAATTGTCACTATGTGAACAAAAAATACCTTTCCTACCCCCTAATTTGGTGGATTTATGCAGCAAGTCTTCCCCCTGCAGCACATCTGCTGAAGGCAAACTCCAGCAATAGGAAAGTTGCAGCATTTGGGGGAGCTGGCTGAGATATCCAAATCCCTGAGACTGAGACCTGTTGGCTCTCCAGAGGTCAGTCAAGCAAGAATAGGGATATGTGGAAGAGGAGCCTTGCCTGCAAGTCGCTGCTCCACGTCACGTAGCTGAGACTCAATCTCCTCGTGGATGGAGTCGTTGGTCACGGCTAAGAGCCAGAGGAGGAGGTTAGTGGCTATGGTCAGCATCAGGCCACACCTGGGAGGAGGGAAAGGCACTTTCACCACACATTGCCTATCAAGATTGCTTACAACCTGATTGTGTGTCCACCTGCCACGCAGTCCTGCTCTCTATTTCTCGCTTATTTGCGCGCAGGTGGATGCAGACATGGTGCTTTGTGCCTGTTTGGCCTAGGGCCATTGGCACACAACTTTGCACATGCAAAACTGTGTGTGTTCCCATTTGGCCATTTGCAAAGGAGCAGGGCAGCCAACACCAGCCTTGGTAGCTAATGCAAAACTGGCCTCAGCCCGGGTGCAGTTACTGGAGGGAAGATTGAGATATCTTCCAGTGCCTGATGTGGAACCCAGGAATAGGAATGGAGAATCAACCTTTGAACCACACAGTGCAAAGCTCTGAGGGGCTGGGAGGAAGTAACAGGCTTTGTAGCTCTTCCAGGTGCAACCAAAGACCAGGGGGAGCTGGTGAGCCCAGGCAGGTGGAAGGAGGATGAGTCTAGTCAAGTCATAACCTACTTTTTGTGTGCTGCAGAATATAAAGAGCTTGCGTAAGATCAGGTGGAGACAGGTCTAGCAAGAGAGCTCATAAATAGAAAGGAAAAGTTTCTCTTCAAAGAAGAGTACAAAGTTTATTCTTTGTTCCTCATACCTGGTGAGGTTGTGCTGGACTTGAATGCAGTCCTTAGAGTGATGCCACAGGAAAACAGCCTGCAAATCAGTAACAACAAGGACATGAGCAGGGCGAAGCCAGCAGGAGAGAGGCGGGCGAGGAGGAGCGCGTTCGAGTGGGAGCGAAGCTGCCTCTGTGAGAGCCTTGCAGGGACGTGTGTGCACCTGCATTTCGGTGTTGGCAGGTGTGCTGGCGTCCCTACGTGACTCCAGTGTGTGTGACCTTACCTGATGCCAAAGGAGGTCTAGGGAATGCGTTTTACTCTGTCTCGTGCATGAGCATTTGTTGCTGAGATGGGAGCTAGATACTTTTCAAATATGGCTTTGGGCTTGGGCAGGAACGGTTCGGAGGAGCGTTATTGTCAGTAAAGAGTTGCAAAGGGTGTGAGATATTTATGAGAGCAAATGGTTTTGTGTGGGGGTGTAACAAATAGAGAAAGGCTGGAGCTACATAGGGAGACTGGTGCAAGCATCTCTCTTGGCCAAATCTATGAATTTTCTCTCCTTTCTCCCTACTTCAATTTTTCAGAACAAATTCCTCTAGATCCAGCAATACATCAGCTATTGCTAGAGAGATTTATTTCAAAATCTTATTTCTTTGTTATTTGAAGTAGCACACGATACATCTTTGCTAGTGCAGCTATTGCTAGAGAGATTTATTTCAAAACCATATTTCTTTATTTGAAATAGCAAACGATACATCTTTGCTAGTGAGAATGCCTCCCATGCACCCACTTCCCCACGTGCTCCCACTGCTGTGGCCTCCCAGGGTCAGGAGAGAAAGAACAAGGGGGCTCCCAGAGGGATAATGGACAGTACCTGGGTGGTAATGAAAAGGATTTCGATGCAGGGGAACACATTCTGCACCTGGGATTTGCACTGGATGTGAATGACGCTGTAGCCAATCTCAAACACGTTCAGGAGGACGCTGAAAGCACCAAAGAGCAGTAGGGATCCTAGGGAAATGACAAAAGCACCAATAAATCACAAACATGTCTATGGAGCATTTGATCCCAGCTTGGGTTTGGAGGTCTTGTGTCTCATGGATTTGGGAAGAGCTGGAGGCCTTCCAGTTGGGAAGTCTCACGATTTGGAGAGAAAGGCAGAAAGGAAAGCCTGTACCTGAACTTGCTTTGGTGCTTTGGCTAGTTTAAGGTTGAGATGGCACAGGAATTTCTCTGTGCTTGGACACAGTGTAGGAGGAGGGTTTTCAACCTTTTCTGTGCAATCTGGGGGCTGGAGGAAAGCTAATAGCAGATAGAGGTTTCTGCCTTGCTGCAAGAGATCAGTCTGGCTGAAGCCAGACTGTAGGAGAAACACCAGTCTGTAGAAGAAACTTTTTTGGCAGTTTCTCTGTGTTTTGACACCTCTCTACAGCTTTAGGTGCTGAGGTCTCTTACAGTTGTATTCCCCTTAGTTTTCCGTGCTTAATTAACAAGACTGTGCGTGAGGCAGGGTAGTTTGGAGAAGCATCATTTGACAGCGTTGAGCCATTGTGGTGAACACCTGATGGAAGATCTCCAAGGAAAGCTTGGCTGTCACTGGGGCTTGAGTCACTGGGCAGGAATCTTCCCTTAGAAACAGGGCTGCTGTGATGTTAAACAAGGGCGAGGGCAGCATGGGGCTGCTGACATCACGGGAACGTAAATGCAGAGGTTCTTTGCTTGCTTTGCAAAGTGGTGGGCTGACCATGGGCTTTGGAGTCGCTCCGGCTGCTTTGAACCCACGCTCTGCTCTTGCAAGATGCAGGAGTCCAGGGTTTCTCATTTGCACATCACAGCCCTTACGTTTCTCTCCCAATTTTTTATTTATTTATTTTTTTTGTCTGTAGGTTTAAGTGTTAGGGAACCTCAGCAAAACAGCATTCCTAGTGCTGGCTGGCCCAACTCCCCAGGTGGTTGACTGAAGTGTGGAACACGGAGTCGGTCATTCTTGAAAGGTTCTCAAAACCTTTCTTTCATCTCTCCTGCTGTGCTCAGTTGCTGGGCTGTGGGTGAGAAGGCTCCGTTGTGCTTTGGGCAGGAGTCACAGGGCAAGATTTGCTGTGGAGGCTGAAGAGAGGCCGAGGCCCCGGCCTCGCTGGCTGCTCTCGTCCCTTTCTGTGGCATTAGCTTTGCCTCCAGTTGCCCCTCGGCCTCATAACAGAAGACTGCAGGAACCCGGGGAGATTCCCAGTGTCCTAATCACGTTTTCCTTGGGGACCTTTCTCTTTCAGTGCTGGGGAAAGGATTTCCTTATCTTCCCAGTGCTGGGAGAAAGGGCGAAAGCAGGAAATGACACATGAAAGCAGAACTTACCCCTCAGCCAGATGGGCCCGGCGTGGGTGTCGCGGTGCAGCACTGCGTGCGGCTGCCGGCTGGTGCCCAGCACGTAGTAGACGACCCAGCACAGGCACAAGACCTTGAGGATGGAGAGCAGGATCCAGACGTCTGCCAGCGTGATGGCCACGTGGTTGAAAATCATGCTGCTGAGGAAGGCGCTACCCAGGAACACCACGTTCATGGCCAGCAACCCTGAGAAGAGCTGCCCGGCTTTCTGGGACTGCCTGTCCCCCTGCACCAGCGAAGAGCAGTGCCGGTAGAGCCAGGACTTCTCGTAGTGGATTGTGGAGTGGTCGGGCGCAGCTGACGCGGGCCGGTGGGTGCAGTGGTGACAGGGCTTCTGTCTTGAGGCTTTGTTGGCCAACATGGCTTGGCTGGCTGGGAGTCACCTGCCACGCTGAGCAAACAGGGAGTTAATAGGTCTACTGATGGTGAGGGTCTTGCAGAGAGGTTTTGTGCTTTGCTATAAAGGCCACTTGTGTGGTGAATTTGGAGGCCTCAGCCTTCTGTGTTTTGGACCTCTTCAAAGCTTACCCCTGAGCACAAGGCAAAAGAGATCCTCCAAAGACCTTGCTTCCTTGGGGCTTCCCTTGGCTGTTTTGCAGCTTCTTCCCTCTCCAGAACCTGGATGAGGAGGAAAAGAGGTTGATGTTGAGTCCAGATTAGGTATTAAAAATGTCTCTCTGGACAGGTAACTGCAAAGCACTGAGGAAAAGCCCTTCTGTCCAAATCTGTTCCGAGAAGCCTGCATTAAAATGAATATTTGATATCTCTGCCTTGCAGTGCCAGTACTCTGAGCTACCGGTACCAGAGGTCTCTTCCCACGTGGACCTTTCGCACCTCCTCTGCATACAGCCCTGGGTTCAGGCTTTGTCCTTTCCTTCTGTTGCTGTAAGGATTAGCTGGAAAGGCTGAACAAGCTCAGACTTGTTCTAAAATTCAGAGCTGTTTGATTTTTTGGGTGATAGGTCTGACTTCTTTCTTTTGTTTCTAGACTGTGTGATTTACACTGCACCCCTGGGTACGGCCGCATAAATGGGAGAGAACTGGAGAGAGGCAAACAAGTGTCTGTAAAACATCTAGCCAAGATTTTAGGAAAAGAGCCAGCCTCCCACCCACGAGGCCTGAGATCTGGATAGAGTTAACACCTGGCTTGATTTTCAGCTTTTAGTGTGGTATTTGGAAAAGCACAGAGTCATGAGCGTCCTAACACAGAAATTTGAGGGATTGGCCCAGATAAAACTTCCAGATCCCGGCAACTTTCCTATTCCAGCTTTTTGAGAAAATCACGGCAGGACTGTGTTTCGCAGGATGAGGATCAGTTTATGGTAGAAGCCTCTTTCTCTCCAGGGAGCAACGTGAATCTGGTGGTGACGGGGAGGCCGAAGCGAAAGCAGAGCCCTTGCAGGAGAGATGCTTGGCAGGGAATGCTGTGTCCTTGTCCTAAGGCTTTGGGGGAGAAGTTGTCTGAGAGGGGCCAAATCTCAGTGCTTCCCTCTTCCCTTTTGATCTGTGGGGAT